GTTTCAGCCATCATAGATATGCCAGCACCAAAGAATTTAAATACTTTACGGTCTTTCTTGGGAGCAATTAATTATTATTCTCGATTTATTCCCAATATGCACATTTTGCGACGTCCGTTGGACAATTTGCTTAAGAAGGATGTACCATGGTCATGGTCTTCACATTGTCAGAAGTCTTTCGAACAATTCAAGAATATTTTGACATCTAATCTGTTGCTCACTCATTACAATTCAAAGTATGAAATCATTGTGGCAGCAGATGCTTCAAACGAAGGTCTGGGAGCTTGAATTTTACATCGTTTTCCAGATCAAACAATCAAAGCAGTCAGTCATGCTGCTAGAAGTCTTACTCCTGCGGAAAAAAATTACAATCAAATTGAAAAAGAAGCTTTAGCAATTATGTTTGCCATTACGAAATTTTATCGGATGATTTTTGGAAGGCATTTTACTTTACAAACGAATCACAAACCGTTATTACAAATTTTTGGAAACAAAAAGGGGATTTCTGTTCATTCAGCGAATCGTTTGCAGCGATGGGCTTTGCAGTTACTGTCTTACGATTTTCAGATTGAATATATTAAAACTACAGAATTTGGACATGCTGATGTGTTGTCCAGGCTCATTGATCAGCAGAATCGCCCTGAAGAGGATTTTGTTATTGCTTCTATTCAATTNGAGGAAGATTTATCTTTGACTTTGCAAGAGTCATTACAAACGGAGCCAGTTAAGCCGATTACCTTTCAGCAGATTCAAGAGGCAACTAAGAAGAGTGATATTCTTCAGGAAGTAATTAAATATACTCTTACCTCATGGCCTCAAACTGTAGAAGAGTTATCCTTGCAGCCTTATTTTTGTAGACGTCATTCATTGTCAGTAATCCAAGGCTGTCTTTCTTTCAATAATAGAATTGTGGTGCCGTCTTGTTTTCGTACACAGGTTCTTCGACAGATTCACAAGGGTCATCCTGGAATAGAACGAATGAAGATTTTGGCCCGTTCATATGTATATTGGCCGAAAATAGATGCGGACATTGAACAATTTGTTAAGCGTTGCAGAAATTGTGCACTCACCGCAAAGGCTCCTGTTAAGGTTCCTTTATGTAGTTGGACTCAGCCAGCAGCACCTTGGCAGAGAGTGCATATTGATTATGCTGGTCCATTAAATAGAGAATATTTTTTCGTTCTGGTGGACGCTTACTCCAAATGGCCAGAAGTCATACCGACACAGTCAATTTCTGCACAGCGAACAATTAGTTTACTTCAAAGTATTTTTGCTCGCTTCATCATACCTGAAACAATTGTTTCAGATAATGGAACTCAATTCATATCAGAGAAGTTTGAATCTTATTGTTTATTAAATGGAATACAACACTTACGCAGCCCACCTTTTCATCCTAGCTCAAATGGGCAGGCTGAGCGTTTCGTGGATACTTTCAAGCGTGGACTTGCTAAACTACAAGCTGGGAAAAATAGTAGCAACTTTTCGTCAATGGATTTTCCTTCTGTTTTCTTACAGTGTTATAGGTCCATTCCAAATCCAAATGTTCCTAACAAGTTGTCTCCGGCTGAAGCACTGATGGGTAGACGAATACGGACATCATTGGATTTACTGAAACCTTCTTCTTGCCAAGTATCTACAAATGAGAAACAGCTTAAGCAAAAGATGCAATATAATCGAAAACACGGAGCAAGAGATAAAGTTTTTGCTCCGGGTACGCAAGTTTTTGTTCAGGTTCATGCAGCAAATAAATGGTCGTGGATACCTGGGAAAATTATCGAGCGGGTTGGCAAAGTTCTGTATAATGTGCTTGTTCAAACACGAAGTCGACTGGTTCGTGCACACGCCAATCAACTGAAGTTTAGGCACGGTGACGAAGACGAAAAAGAACTTCCCGCGGAAATTCTCATCAATGTCTTCGATCTCACAGACACTATACAACAACGAACATCACAAGAAACTCAGCAAGTAGTTACACATCACGAAGCACTTCGCGACGGAGAACAAGAAGCTGATCCAGTTTCAGCTATTTCTACACAACAGCAAGTGGATTTACTGCCTCAAGTTTCTTCAAAACAGCAAGTGGCTTCTCAACCACAAAGTGTAATGCAACAAAGAGAGACGTCGTCCGAGACACTGCAGTTGGAACATAGAGAGTCTATGCCATCTGAATCTCTACCGGCTTCCGAATCTGCAAGGCCAATCCGGCAATCAGCGCGAACACGGCGCAGTCCAATTAGATACAAGGATTACGTCTGTCAACGTCTTTAAAAGGGGGAGATGTAGTAATCGATACATCGATACATCGATATCGTTACTACAATCGAATGTCATCCTAGCAACCGATACATAATCATTCAATTATTCTTAACAACTATTCTCTTGTTAAATTATGTAACTTCATTCATTCCAAGTTCATTCCTGTAACCATTCACACGTTTTAATAAACCGACTCAAGTTTTCTTTAAAAGAACAAAGTTTAGTTTATTTTGTGAGTGAACAAACATAACACTAACCAAGAAAGTTTCTCCCTCGTTTCCTGGGAAGGAAAAAAGTAAAGAAGGAGTGGTGCCAACTTTGTCGAAACCTGAGCCCCAGGATAAGGCAGCGAAAAGTCTTTTCTGCGTTTATTGCAGGGGAAAGAACCACACGAGAGAGGACTGCTACAAGCTCAAGAGGAAGGAACGAGTCGTCGGTGCCCCGGAACAAACAAAACAGCTCCCTCCATCCTCAGTGGCGGCGGTCAACGATGTAGGTGGGGATCCTAAAGAAGTAACCTTCGTTAATTACTCACAAGTCAGAAGCCTTGTTACTAGCAACCCGGTCATTATTGTAAAACGGTTCAACGGCGTTAATTGTACTTTGCGTGCGTTAATAGACACGGGGAGTCCAATCTCTTTTATTACTAGTAAAACTCTCTCTCAATTTCCGTGTGCTTCCGATTTGCTCAAACAGTCTAAGAAATGTAACTACAACGCCTTGAATGGCACTCCAATTCAAACTCTGGGTACCGTGGTAACTCACGTTAACTTAGAAGCATTGTCGGATATTAACACTAAAGTGTCCTTACACGTTTTAAAAAGTGACGTTGGTCTACCTCACTTGATTCTTGGCCGTGATTTCTTCGCTGATAATAACGTTACGGTTTTGTACACACCTCTTAGTGAGAGGTCCGAAGATAGGGCACGACTTTTTGCAGAGGTGGTATCAACCGAAGCTGCAAGTGTTGTGCCAACTAGAGCATCGGAAATACTACAAGATGTCAGTGTAGATTTTGATATTTCGGTTAAAAATCGGTTAATTTCGGTTATTCAAGAGGTAGAGAACACAGACGTCCCTCTCGTCGAAGACGATTATGCAGTAGAGCTCAGGCTCAAAGATGAGTCCGTTTATGCTTTTTCGCCTAGACGTTTCGCACATTACGAGAGACTCAAAATAAGAGAGATTACAGACGATCTGTTGTCTAGAAATATTATAAAAGAAAGTACATCACCGTACTATGCGCGCGTAGTGCCGGTTAGAAAGAAAAACGGCTCACTAAGGTTATGCGTAGACTTGCGTCCCCTTAACGAAAGGGTGGTTAAGCAAAAGTATCCTTTCCCAGTAATAGAGGATTGCCTAGCACGTCTAAGTGGCAAAACTGTATTCACTCTGTTGGACCTTAGAGACGGTTTTCACCACATCAAAATACACCCTAGTTATACAAAGTACTTTTCTTTTGCCACCCCGGACGGACAATTCGAGTATTTGAGACTTCCTTTTGGTTTTTGCGAGGCTCCCGCCGAGTTTCAGAAACGTTTCGTTTCAATACTAAGTTCGTTTATTAGAGAAGACAAAGTCTTAGTGTATATTGACGATATTCTTATCGCCTCCTGCTCAGTTCAAGAAAACTTAGGTATACTGAGAGAGGTTCTTCTTCAGTTAAAGCGATATGATTTCCAGTTAAATCTAGCTAAGTGTCTCTTTTTGAAGACCACAATCGAGTACCTAGAGTACGTTATTTCCCCGTCGGGAATTACCCTTAGCTCTAGGCATACAGAAGCCGTGGCTAATTTCTCACAACCTACCAAAGTTGTTGAGCTCCAACAGTTTCTAGGACTCACTAACTATTTCAGAAAGTTCATCAAAGATTACGCGGCCATAGTTAAGCCTCTTTACGCGCTTCTACGTAAAACCTCTAAATTTGTATTCGATGATCATTGTCTTCAGGCGTTTAATACACTGAAAGAATTGTTAACTGCCTCTCCGGTTCTACAATTGTATAACCCACATCTCAAAACCGAATTACACACGGACGCGAGCGTGACAACAGTCGCCGGTATCCTTCTTCAAAAGCAAACCAATGGGCATTGGTCCCCAGTAGCCTTCTATAGTCAAAGCACTAACAAAGCGGAAAAAAATTACCACAGCTTTGAGTTGGAAATGCTCGCAGTGGTTAGGTCCGTGGTAAGGTTTCACATCTACCTTTATGGTTTACATTTCACAATTGTCACCGATTGCCACGCGCTAGTATACGCGGTAAACAAGACTCATATTAACCCTCGGATAGCTAGGTGGACTCTTCACTTACAAAATTACAAGTTTAAAATGTTACATCGCGATGGGCGTCGAATGGCGCATGTTGACGCCCTTAGCCGCGTTGTTTGCTTTTCAAGTTTAATGCCCCTCGAGAANGAGCTTCAGTACAGACAGCTCCAAGATCCGAGACTTAAGGCGTTGGCTGAAGANCTTGAGATTCACGATAACGAAAAGTTCCAACTTTTCGATGGCCTCGTTTATAAAAAGGGCATAGATAAACCACGTTTCGTCGTCCCAGACTCCATGATCATTAACGTCATACGCAATTACCACGACTGTATGGCTCATTGTGGCCTAGAGAAAACCATTCAAGGCGTCTCCGCCAATTATTGGTTTCCTTCCGCCAGGAAGAAAATTCAGAATTATTTAGACAACTGCCTAGTGTGTTTGTTAGCTAATTCCACGGCTAACGCCCGGGAAGGCGAGCTTCAGTTGACGGACACCCCCTCTCAACTTTTCGACGTTTTTCATATAGACTATTTTGCTTCAGTAGCAGAGTCGCTTGAAGGTTTTAAACATATTCTGTTAGTAGTCGACTCATTTTCTAGGTATACCTGGCTCTTTCCGACTAGATCGACCGGATCACGCGAGATGATCAAACACTTGTCGTATCTATTCCAAAATTTCGGGAATCCGGTGATCCTCATATCGGACAGAGGCACAGCCTTTACCTCTCAGGAATTTACAGACTTTGTCCAGCATCGTAATGTTGTACATAGACAGGTAGCTGTGGCAGCTCCTTGGGCCAATGACCTGGCTGAAAGAATTAATAGGTTTTTAAAATCCTCCTTGGGAAAGGTCGTAGAAGATGACCAAGCCTGGAGTTCCCACGTAGGCACCATTCAGTACGTCATCAATAATACTTATCATTCCGCAATTAAAGCCACTCCAGCTAAAGTATTGTTCGGCGTGAAAATGCGCAACCACTCTGACGCAAGTCTAGTGCGCTTATTAAATAATATTGCCAAAGTAGAATTAAGTTTTGAGCGGGACCGAGACGTTTCCCGTCAGTTAGCCGTCGAGGCCGCAAATAAGCTTAAACAATATAACAAAGTGTATTATGACGAACGACATAAGAAACACCCACACTGTACAAACCAGGCGATTACGTTCTTATTAGAGATTCTACACTTAAAACAGGTGAGCACAAAAAGTTAAAACCCGCTTATAAGGGACCCTACGTTGTAACTAAAACGTTAAATAAAAACAGGTATGTTGTCCAGGATATACCTGGCTTTAATCATACGTCGAGACCATATAATTCCGTGTTATCAACTGATCGAATTAAACCGTGGGTTAAACCCGTTGGACCTCCTTCCTGAGGACTTACTTTCTTTTAAGTAAGCCACACCGTATGGTTTCGTATTTTTAGCATTAGTGTACACTGATTTGTGTTTTTAGTTCCTTTAAAAAAAAAAAAAAAAAAAAAAGTTCTATGCACTTATTATTTTCGTTTTATTTTAGAAAGTATGTACAACAAAAAGAAGCGCTAGTTTTACAGTTACACGCTTTAAGATACTTTGTACTTTATATGTAAGCTCGTAGCGCTGATGTTTGCGTCCTGTAGTACAGCAGTTTCTTTTGTCTTATTTTATATTCATTGTTATTGAGTAATCATTATGTTTAGTTCATTGTAGGCGGTCACGGACAGGTTGCTGCGGCGTTCTCAGTGTAATAATTACTTATGTAGTTTTCTTTGTCAAACCGCCGGGTCTTTGAGTTTCTTTTAAGTTAAGTCGAACATTCGAGACGAATGCGTTTGTCAGGAATGGCCGATGCTGTAAACGGTACGTGGGTTACGCGCCGCCATTTGCGTTCG